GTTCGAGAACCGCTTCATATGTATGGCGGAAGAGAGCCTCTCCTCGTTGCCTAATGAAGATTGACTTTCGCAAGGCCTTTGACTCAATGCAATGGGGTTTCCTTAAATAGCTTCTATTATAGTTGGGTTTCTCGGACAGATTTGTGGGTTGGATTTGTTCATGTATTGAGTCGGCATCGTATTCCATTCCAATTAACGGGGCTTGTTTGGCTTCTTCCAAGGCAAAGCGGGGGTTAGAAAAGGAGATCCACTTTCACCCTACCCTTTTGTGGTTTGCATGGAATACTTCTCCCGCTTATATAGAAAGCAACGGAAAACTCGGATTTTCGTTTCCACCCTAAATGTGAGGCTTAAGCCATCTCTCACCTTGCTTTTACGGATGATCTCGTGCAACTCTACCATGGGGATACCGCTTCAATCCGAATTCCGACCAATCAACTCTCTCTTTTTGGTTGCACTACGTGGCTAAATCTTCAATTTTCTTTGGAGGGGTGAGAGGTGATCCGAAAAATCTCATTCTCCGGGATACGGGGTTTAATGAAGGCTCCCGTCCATTTAAATACCTAGGGGTCCCTCTTAGTCCACATCGCTTGCTTGCTAGCCAATTTTCTCCTTTACTTCGTAGTCTTGAATCCGCAATTCGAAGTCGGATGGGTAAACATCTATCATATGCGAGTAGGCTAGAATTGCTTAGATCCGTCCTCTTCAACATGGTTCAATTCCGGTCGCCTATATTTCCTTTGCCTATGGTGGTTACCGCCCATATCACCAATATGTGTCACAACTTTTTTATGGTCCGGCGATGTTAATAGAAGCACCTCAACTCTAGTGGCTTGGAAAAATCTCTATCTCCCTAAGCCGGAAAACGAGTTTAGGCCTCTTTGACGTCAAAATTCAAAATCGAGTTTCATGGTCCAAAGGCTGCGGGATATCCACCACAAAGTTGACTCCATTTGGGTTTGCTGGATCTACCACTATTATTTGCAAGGCAACCGGGTGTGGGAAGTAGCGGCTCATCGCAATGCCTCACCACCGTGGAAAGCTATAATTGCTTTGAGAGACATTCTAGTTGTGAAATTTGGGAACACAAATGCGGTACTTGAAGAACTAGCCCGAGTGGAATTCAACTGAAGGAAGCCTCTCTAGAGCGGCGTATTCTCATCTCAAACACATGGGTGATTCGATCTGCTGGGGTAGAGTGATTTGGGATTCCCGGTCTCTATCGAGACATGCTTTCATTCTATGGCTAACGACTAAAGGGGTGTTAAAAACTAAGGACCAACTTCGGTTCCTCCCTTCCAACTTAATTTGTCATTTTTTTCATCAAGCTAATAAATCTCATCCCCATTTGTTCTTCTTTTGTAGCTGGTTGCGAGTCAAGAACCGGCTCCATATCCGGCGAGGTTTGACTACACTTAACGATGCTATTCAAGGACTTTCCTTTCATCATAACAATCTTGAAGCACGAATGCGGAGGGTTGCCCTTAGCATCATAATCTATGTTATTTGGGAAGAAAGAAATAGGAGAGTCTTTGAAGCTTCCTCAAACTTGATTGATAGAGCCTTTTGACAATTTTAGATTCTATTCTACATCGTTTTCCATTTTCATGAGACAGATCACCTCCTTCGCACTTATACTAGATAAATCTAATGCTTGATTGGCCGTTCGTTTGATTTGTTTTATATGCCTCCTTCTATTTATTATAATTGTGGGAATGTTCTCGGGGATTGTTGGACTTGGTTTGTGTTTTTGACTCGATGTAAGTGGTCGCTCGGATTGGGCCAGTATTAGCTGTCTTGTTGATTTTTCTAGCTTGGCCTCATCGCTGTCTTCGGTGTCCTCTTTTAGGAGTTCGAGCCGGGCCTTGCCTCTCCCCTCGGTCTGCAGCTCTTCGCATTTCGGTTAGTTGGCTTTCGATGCTATGCCCGGATGTCTAGCCTCCGTTTGGGCTCGATTTGGCTGACTTGTTATATTAGTCCGCTCATAGTCTCCTATCCCGACTCTTCTTTACTACTCGTCTTACGAGTCTCGGCGACTTCACCGGTGTTTCTTCTCTGTCGGCTTGGCTTGATTTGTGCTAACCCCCGCTGGTTCCTTGTTTGGGTTGGTCGCTCTACTCGATCTATCTTTCTCATGTCTCGCGGGTTCCGTTCTATCCTAGCTAGTTTGGTAGGCTTACTAGTTTTGGTTTCATGGGTTGTATGGGTGCTCTTGTCCCTAGCTTGGTTGCGAGTTTTATTCGGCTTTATGTATCTTCACCGGGCTCGGTCTACTATCGTTTCGGGCACCTCCTATAGTAATTGAGGTCGGGTATTGCCTACTCCTCGGCCTATCCGGTTCTATCCCCGGTTTGGTCGTCCGTCTTTACTTGGCGACCCTACGGTATTTTGCTCTCCTCTATCGGCTCCTTGTTTGGCCCATTTACAGAGTTCGTTGGATCTCGTGGTAGGCAAGGTTGCTCCCGGTTCTACCTTCTATTTCGTGTGTTTGCTTGGTTGATTCTATTTGCCTCTGTTTGGGTCGTCTGTTCGGGTTATTTTAGGGGCCTAGCTCGGGCTAACCTTTGCTTTGGGGAGCTCGTATGCCTACTTCCTTGCCTTCGATCTCGTTTAACCTTGGTCGTTGCTTGCTCGTTTTGGGTTTTGTGCTCTTATCTTTGTGTATAGCTGGTTTTGTAAATGTTTAATTATTCACTTTGGCCTTTCAACTAATATTTTGTATGATATTGCGCCTCTATCTATGGTTCCGGTTAGCTAGATCGGTTCATTGAGGAGTTTTTCTTGGAATCTCTACTCGTTAGATTCCTTGAATAACTTTAGTCTCTAGCTCTTTTGCTCTATTTTTGGGAGCCTATTCCCATTTTTTCTCATCCTGTTTTTGCTACTCTTGCTAGTTTTTCCAGCTTGTTTCACTTTGTTTTATATACATTCAAAAAAAAAAAAAGGCTCTCGCTTCTAGCTGCCTGGTCTACCTGCGGTCTTCTATGCTTGTAGGCTAAATACTATCTTCTCGCTTAGCTGGTTAGCTCGAGGTCTCCTCTGCTATACCTGGTCGTCTCTTGGGGATCTTCTCGCTTCGGCTTTCTAGGTCTCCATTGCGGCTCCACCTAGCTCTCCGGTTACTTCGGTCTCTTGGCCTCGAGCTTCGCTATTCCGTCCCGGAGTTAGGCTTGTTACTAGGCCGTTAAGGCCGGGCTTAGCCTCTTTTCACATATTGGTTAGAGTATTTTCAGCACTCCAATATGCCCTCCCTTTAGTGTTTACCTCCATTTCATTTTACATGCTACGTTACCTTAATGATTCTATTCAACCTCCCTTATCACAATTGAGTTCTCATTGTACATGGTAGATTAGATTTGGATAATTGATGTTACGGGGTTTTCTATTTTTTATTTGCTGTATATCTTGGTCTATCGGTGCGAGTTGTCGGCGTAACTTGGTCCGAGTTGATTTTGGTTGGGCTTCCGGCCTTGCTTGGCGGATCCACTAGTCCATGATTCTCCACCTTCATGAGTTAGGCTCGGTACGGTTCGGTTTCCTTAGGTCCGGTTGCGGGTGTGGGAGGTATTTGCTTCGCTTTTCTTCGGCTCTTAGATCGCCTTGCTTCAAGTCCGATAGAGCCTCCCTCCGTGGTTCTTGGTTGCTTTGGATTTAGGAGCTTTTCCTTTGCTCGTTTGCCTTGTGTTTGGGACTCGCCTCATCTAGCTTGTTGTGTATTCTTGCTTCGGATTAAGTTCTTGTTTGTCTTTAGTGGGTTTTGTTACCTAAACGGATGGCTCTTTGCTATGGTCGCTCCGGCTTGGTCATTCCCGCATCCGACCGTCATTAAGCGCTTCTTTCATGTGCTACCGAGTCCGGCCTACATCTTTTGCTCCCCCATCCGCATGTATCTCCGGGTTTTATGGATTGTTTAGGTGGTCACTCGTTTCTAGTTTTCTTCGACTTTCGGGGTGCTCTTTAATCAAGTCTACTAGTAGTCCCTCTATTTGCACGGTTCGTTCTTGTTGGTTTCTGTTTTTGGAAAGAGGGGTCCGACCGAGCTACTCGCTTTGGGATCCGTCTCGCTCTCCTCTATTATTAGTGCTCGCCAGCACCTACTCGAGCGAGCCTAATCGATAGTAGAGGTCTCTTGGTTCGCTTTCCGGTCCTGCTATATGGTTAAGCCTTCTATTTAGCCCCCGTTGGCTCTTTGCTAGTCTATGATGCTCGCTCCTGCTCGGTTCCTATTTCTGCTACGCTAATAGATGATACTTGGCTACCCTCCTAATCCGGGTATCCGCTCGCCTCAATGCTGCTCGCCTCTATAGGTTTTTGTCTTTCTCGTTGTACTCATAGTCGACTTTGTTAATTCTTAGCTTTCATTTTGCTTTCTCGGCTAAGTTTTTGTATACTCGTTGAGCTTTTGTACATGGTTTAGCTAGCTTCTATTAATTTCCTATTTGGTTCTTCTTGGAATCTCTACTAGTTTGATTCCTTGAGCAACCATCTAGATATAGCTCGGTTCGGTTTCTTTGGGAGCCTGTTCCTAATTTTTGTAAATCCCGTATATGTTACTCTTGTTGGTTATCCAACTTGGTTTCATCTTTGATTTATATACTTACATTTAAATAAAAAAAAGAAATAGCTCTCGATGTCTAGGAGAGAGAAAAAGAGAGAGGTGCTCTCCTCCCTCCATGGAGATCTTTCCCTCCGGATTTGGCACGCTCCTCGCTCGGCTCTCCTTCCCTCCCCGTCTCTTCATCTCGTTCTTAACCCTCTCTTCTCCTTCCCGTGTCCTCTCTTTCCAGCTCCCCATATTGCCTCTCTCCCCTCGTACTCGTATACTTTTTTTCCCCTATGGCTAAAAAGAAAAAGAAATCTACGATTAGGTCATCCACGATTTCCCAAGGGTCGGATTATTCACCACCAATTATTGCCCTAATAGCTCCTCCGGCGCCTTTCACTTCTCTCGCAACCATTGGACTCCACATCATCTCACTTTGCTTCTCACCACGCTAGGGTTACCGGAGTTGCACGTAGTCTTGTCCCCTCTCTTGCTCATGACTCGGTGGCGGTTGAGGACCGCTCAAAGCGGACACCGAGTTAGAATCGAATTCCTCGGCTTCTATAGGGGAACCTACCTCTCGATCAAAATTTTTCAGAACCCACCCTCCCGATTTGGGTTTAATTGCACCTCTTAATGCCCTACAAGTCACTTCCAGCCTTGTGAACTCTATCTCCCACCGAGATGACTTACGTTTGGGCAACCCCCCACGTGCAAATGCGCTTGCCCCGGTGTCCAAGCACATTGCCCTCTACCCGTTTGATAGCGGCTCCCAATCGGTCTTCCCATAATGGGACCTTACGTGCGGTTGTCAATACGGATACTCACGGTGCGGCTCCTCTAGCCCACCGATCCGCTCCTAGTCGAATTATGCAAAGCCCGCCCCCGATGTGTTGCTAAGTGGAACCGCAACTCGGCTTGCTCAAGGAAAATTGCCATTTAGTTCCTCCAGTCGAGCACCGTCGCTATTGTCGGCTCTCATATCCCCGTAAATGACCCTCCCCCACTTCCTAATTGGAGAAACTTATTTGTGAATAATCATAGTCCTACTTTCTATCCAAAACTCACACTACTCCACTATCACGGCAAGTCAAAAATGTACTTTGGTTGTGGAGGACTCACGATATGATGGCTGGAAATTCCGTCCGGTTGGTTATATAGCCGGTAAATTCCTTGGCTATCGAGCTCTTAATGCCATTATTGCCAATTCCTGGAAATGTAAAGCCAAGCCGATAATGCATGACTTTGGTTGGTCGGTATACCGGCTTGATTCTAAAGATGCAAAACTGGATGTGTTGAATGGTGGACCTTATTTGATATATGGCAAGCCCTTGATTTTGAAATCTATGCTTGAATTTTTTGATTTCTCATCGGGAGATATGTCCATGGTTCCGAGTGTGGGTGAAATTCCCCAACCTCCTCTTAAAATACTCGGTTCATCGATAGTCTATCTAAAATAGCTAGTTTGCTCGGGAAACCAATACAATGTGACCGACTTACAACCACTATGGAAAAAATTTCTTATGCTTAGAGTGCTTATTGAGATGAACATCATGGATGCCCTCCCATGGGAAGTGGGCATTGACACCGCCAAATGGTTCCAAATTAATCCAATCTCGTGATCTATGAAACGGTGCCACTTCACTCGTAAATATTGCAAAGTTTTAGGCCATGCGACTTCCGGATGCCCACTTGTTCCTCCTAAAGCCGGAGTGGTAGAGAAGGGGACTAAGGTAGTAGTGGATGAGGGTACTCGGTCATGGGCTAACGAGGATACAAGGCTTGGGCCGATCGTCGCCATTGCTTCTAGTGTTCGGGTCGAGAGGTTTGACCCCATGCATACCGAGCTTGCCGGCAATTCTAATGGTTGGGAAATAGTCGGGAGAAAGGGCCAAGGGCTGAATCAACCACATATTGATCGGGGTGCTACTGCTCGCGCCGGTTCGGTAGCAATCTCTCCCTCGGTAGAATGCTACCGTCATCCCTTGTCGGATGGCTACCGTTGATTCGGAGCAGCATGTGACTCGCTATGTTCAGCCACCAACTTCGATTCCGAATAACATGTGGCTTGGTAAACGGAAAGAAAAGGTGACAAGTAGAGGTACATCCCGAGACATTGAGGGGAGTCGGGGGTATCGGTAGGCCTTCTCATGCAGTTGCTAGTCATATTGGCCTATCTAGACTCGAGAGTATGGTTGAGAACCCCGACTCGACAAATGTAGTTGTTGAGGAAATAGTTCTTCCTATCGCTCTTGGGGCCGCCACCCGGACTAGCAAAGGAGATGGTCAACCAAGGGCTTTTACGAGGGTGACAAATCAAAGTGGTGGGGTGAAAACTCGAAGTGGTAGTAGGCGGGTGCCTACCACCGCAACTCCTATATGTTAATCTACCACTAGAATGTCGGGGGCCTCAACAACCCCCTAAAGTAGCATGAGGCTACGGGCCTTATGAAGAAGAAACAGATTGATGTGTGTTCTTTTGTTGAGACGAAGCTTAGCGGATAAACTTGCCCACATGCATAGGCTTTGGCTTAAGGATTGGAATGTTGTCTTTAATGTTGAGGTTGCTCCTTATGCCCATATTATTGTTTTTTGGAACCCTAGGACAATTTTGCTTGAATGCCTTGATATCTCCCCCCAAGGCCTACATGTTAGAATCTCTAGTCTTGTTAAGCAATACCGCTTCTATGCCACTTTTGTATATGCGTTTAATACTATTTCCGCCAAGAAAGATTTATGGACCGACCTTCGTCGGTGGGATCCGCATGGCCTCGTCGATCATCCCGGGGGATTTCAATTCCATTCTCTCTTAGGGAGATAAATAAAATGGGGTGGTTGTCTCTGCCTATGATACCTCGGATTTTCGAGATTGTTGTAGTGAGTTGGGACTAAGTGACCTTAACTATGTAGGCGATCACTACACTTAGAATCGAGGCACTCGTCCGGACCAAGATCGATCGAGTCCCGGCAAACCCACTTTGGGCCACTCTTAGGCTACCTACCCTTGTTCATTTCAGCACATCGGGTGCTTTCTCCGACCATGCTACGACTTCCATTCAGCTTAATACCTCGTCCGCCCCTAAGCCGGCTAGTTTCAAGCTCTTTAAGATGTGGACTTCTCATGATCGTTTCCTACACATTGTTGGTCGGACTTGGCAAGTTAGCCTATAAGGTACTCTTATGTTTGTAGTTTGCCAAAAATTGAAATTGTTGAAGAGACCTTTGAAAGAGTTGAATAAGGTGCATTTCGGTCATATTTCGGAGCGGATAGCTAGAGCGAAAGCCGAACTTCAAGCACAACCAAGTAGCTTTACAAAATGACCAAGATAACTCTATTCTTCTTGATTCAAAAAGAAGCTTACGGCTTCGGGTGCTCGCCTCAAAGCTACGGAAAAATCCTTTTTTGGTCGAAGCTCAAGTATAAGTTCCTTCAAGATCGTGACCAAGGCACCAAATTCTTTCATGCTCTCATAGGTCGAATCACAAGCATAACTATATAGCCGCAGTTCAAGGGCGTAATGGCCATGTTACCTCTTCCGTTGATGCTCGTGGGTGAGGAATTTGTAGGGTTCTTTAAGAACCTCCCGGGTTCGGCTAAGGATACTCGCCTTTGGCTTTGGATGTCATTGCATCTAGTCCATGTTTAGACCAAGTCACACAAGCCATGCTCGCTCACTTCGTGACTAATGATGAGATCAAGGAGGTCGTTTTTGGTATTGATAGCTATGAGACTCTAGGGCCTAATGGTTTCTCCTCGCTCTTCTTTAAATCGGCTTGGGGCATTATGGGTGTTGACTTATGTCTAGCGAGTTAGGGACTTTTTCTCATCGGGAAGGCTGCTGAAATAGATCAATCACTCCATAATAAGCTTGGTTCCCAAATCTTCGCATGCTACTATGATGACCGACTATCGGCCTATTTCTTGCTCGTAATGTCATCTACAAAGTTATTTCCAAGCTTCTCTCATCCAAAGTTGCTAGTGGCTTTGAGTGGCATTGTAAGTCCCATGCGAATGCTTTCCTTGGGGGCGGGAAAATGTCCGATAATGTTCATCTTGTGCGGGAGCTCCTTTGACTTTATGGGAGGAAGAGAGTCTCCCCATGTTGTTTGGTTAAAGTGGATTTTTCTAAGGCCTTTGATTCGGTTCAGTGGACTTTCCTTAGAGTAGTTCTCCTTCAACTCGGGTTTTCGAATTTCTTTGTGACTTTGATTATGGCTTGTGTAGAATCTACTTCTTTTTTAGTAGCCGTGAATGGTAGGCTCTTTGGGTTCTTCCAGGGGAGGAATGGGCTTAGGCAAGGGGATCTGCTTTCGCCCTATCTCTTCATTATTTGCATGGAGTATTTCTCTAGAATGCTTGGGCTTGCTATCGCCCGAGAGGGCTTCAATTTTCACCCGAAGTGTGAGCCTCACTATATCGCCCACGTTGCCTTTATGGATGATGTTCTTCTTTTATATCGTGGGGATATATAGTCGATTCAATGTTTACTCGGCCAACTCACTACTTTTGGTTGGACTTCGAGATTGGTTATTAATGCAGCCAAGTCCTCCATTTATTTTGGGGGCGTCAATGATAGTCTCTAATCTCGCTATTATTCAAGACTCGGGTTTCGGTGAAGGCACCTTCCCCTTTAGATATTTGGGGTCCCTCTTAGTCCGCATAGATTGATGGCCGCCCAGTATTATCCGCTTCTTCAAAAACTTGAGGGCGCTATACATGGTTGGATGGGAAAACACCTTTCCTTTGTCGGTAGATTGGAGCTCCCGAGGTCAATTTTGACCGGCATGATCTAGTTTTGGCTAACTATCTTCCCCCTTCGCTCCACGGTTATATCCAACATTGTCGGCATTTGCCAAAACTTCCTTTGGTCGTGCAATGCTAAAAAATTCAATACTACCCTCGTTTCTTGGAAGCATGTTTGCTGCCCCGAGGAGGAGGGAGGCCTTGGGCTATTTGATCTCAAATCTCGTAATGATTCTTTTCTTGCTAAGCAACTCTAGGATCCGCATCTCAAGTCCGATTCGGTCCGGATTGAGTGGGTACATCACTATTATCTTCACACTCATTCTATATGGGAGGCTTAAGCCCATAAACATGCCTCTCCTTTGTGGAAATCCATCACTACTCTAAAAGGTCGACTAGTCCAACGGTTTGGGGATAGTCGCGGGTAATTAATATGATGCACGGTTGGCAAGTCAAGAATGGGAACTTCACTCGAGCATGCTTATGAGCATTTTCGACCGAAAGGTGTCTTGCTAAACCGGGTCCATGTAGTCCGGGAACAATGGTCTTTATCGAGGCATGCTTTTATTCTCCGGTCGGCTATTAGAGGCGAGTTGAGAACTAGAGATCGGCTTCACTATATTACCGAGGATCCCTCGTGTCCCCTATGTCATCGGGATGATGAGTCCTATAGTCATCTTTTCTTTGCTTGTAGTTGGTCTTGGTCTTTGTGGTCTTGGATCAAACGGTGGTTACATCTTTCTCGAGGTATGACTACTCTTCCGAGTGCTATTAGAGGGCTATCTACCCGACGAAAAAACTTGGTTTCATGGATGAACGAGTCTTGCTAAGCATTGTGGTTTATCTAATATGGGGGAGAGAAATCGACGGATCTTTGAGAACTCCCCTTGCTCGGTCGAACACTCCCTCCGGCGGTTCCAAATCTTGTTCTTCATGATCTTTTATTATCATCATACCGATCCTGTTATTTTGGCTTTTGGATAGGCTTTCTCTGCCATGGCTAACACTTGAGTAGTGGTTGGTTAGTTGATGGTTTTGGTGTGCCGGTGGTTTTTCTATTGTGGTTGCTCCGGCTTGGTCATTCCTACTCCCGTCCGCCCCTATACGATTCCGTCTAGTGGGTGTTCTCCTCCTCCGGATTGGGGGCTTCCTAGCTTTCGACGTGATTGTCACTTAGGTCGTTCGGCTAGGTCGTTTGTGCTTCCGTCCGCCCCTCCGCACTTCGCCTACTCGGCTCGGGGGTGCCGGCTATGGTGTCGCCGACACTTAGGCTATGGGATTTGGTTTTGCTATGTCGATGCTTTTCGCTTGTGGGTGCTCTTAGGCCGTGATTTTTGTACCGATGTTTTTCTCGCTCGTGGTTGCTTTGGATTGGTCGTTCCTCGCTTCGTCCGCTACTTTGCACTTCTACCATGTGGGTTCTCTCCTCTTTTGGCTTCGTGATTCTCCTCTCGTCCGATCGGCTTGTTTTGGCCGACTAGCATCGGCTAACCTCTCGTTGGTTCCTCGTTTGGGTTGGCCGCTCGCTGCAGCCTACGCCTCCCTCATGTCTATAGGTTCCGTTCACCCCGCGAGTTCTACTCGCTCCAATCCGAGTCTTTTACTTCCCCATTTGCATTTATAGCCGGGTTTTGTACATTGTTAGCTCACTTTCAGCAAAATTTTTGTATGTTGATAAGGCTTTGTACATGGTTCCAATTAGCTAGTTAAGTATATTGAGGGGTTTTCTTGGAATCTTTCCCGTCGATTCCTTGAACAACCTTTAGTTTCTAGCACTTTTGTCTTGGGTTTTTGGGAGCTTGTTCCCATTTTGTATATCTTGTATTAGCTACTCCTACTCGGTTCTCCGACTCATTCTCTCTTTGATTTATACACTTATATTTAAATAAAAAAAAGAAAGAGCTCTCAATAAGAAAGAGCTCTTAGTCGGTAAGCCTAGAGTGAGAAAGAAGAGAGAGACGCTCTCCTCCTTACATGGAGCTCTTTCCCTCCGGATCCGCCTTGCTTTCGTTTGAACTTCTCTAATCCGACTCGCTTTCATTTTCTATGGTATAATCTTCTTATTCCTCGTTCCATTTTCTTTGTCCTCCTTTTTTAGCTTACCGAAACAACTTTCCCCGCCCACTATTTTCTCTCTCCCTAACATTCGGGTTTTTTTCTTTAATGGCAAAGAAGAAACGGAAATCCACGACCACAACTCCTAAGGATGCTATACGAAAAGATTCCGATTACCCTAGAAGCCCCAGCTTCATCGGTCCCTCCTCCAAAGGAATCCATCCCCCTCTCTCCCCAATCGCCCAAAACCCTAAATCTCAAAAGGGATATCCCCTCCAAATTGCCCTTAACCAATCCCAAGCCCCGACTTCGGCCATGAATCTATTGAGGTCGAAGACCGGTCGGAGGAGGATGAGCTTAGTGAAGAGGAGGTGGGCCATTCGGATTTAGAAGGAATGCCTGTGTCTCAATCCCATTTCTTCGAACAACACCACCTATTTCGGATTCTAGGGAAGCAACCGATACACGCCAAATTGCCATTGGCTCTCGGCTACATTGTAACTTTCCACGTGCCCTTGGCCCAAACTCACTTGCAAAAGTCACCCCAACCTTGTCCCCATTGCCGGAGACAATAGCAGCTGAAACGA